TTTCTGACAAAGTTGTACTTTTGTATTTTCTTACTCAGTTGTATATAACATTTGTATTCTTATTCTATTGTATATAGTATTTTATTTTATTGCATTCCAGTGCTTTCTAATTTCTGCTACATAACTTTGCACTTTTGCTGTAACGAAACAAATTTCCCACCTGTGGGGCTAATAAAGGTAATCTTATCTTATCTTATCTTAATACAAAGTTGTGTACACGTGAGAAGTGGAACGAAAATCATACATGATTCCAAACATTTTTCACAAATAAATAACTGAAAAGTTTAGTCATGGCTCCCTGATAAAAGATGTGCTGGGAGCTGAGGTGGGAAGTGTGTGTGTGCCAAAAGCAGGGCAGCTGAAAAGTTGCTCAGTGAAAAACACAGTGAAATGAAAACGTGTGCAACTACAAACACTGTTGGTATCAGGTCCATATCAACATCCACTCAGGAGAGATGGGAGCTCCAGGGGCTCTGGTTTGAAGATGTGACACAGCTGAGCTGTACAAACTGTCTGACATACAGTTTGAACTATAATTGTATAAATAGCAGACATCATAATAGTTGAATTATGTTGCTTTTTTTTTAAAATATTTTTTATATTTTATTTTATTCCTTCCTGGTTAAATTTACCCTTTTTTATTTTCATATTTATTTATTTCCTATCTTATTCATAGCCTTTTCTTTTTTCTTTAGGTCACGAGCAGTTGTCCAAGCATTTCACTACATATCATACTGTGTATGACTGTGTATGTGACAAATAAAAATTTGAATTTGAAATTTGAATTTGCTATGCTTGTATAAAAAACATGACACTCTCCAGTCCACCATGTATGGGAACACTGGTTTAGAGGAGTCAGTATCCAAAGTAACTGAAAAATGGGATTCATACTGAGTTGGACAGTGAATTTATTTGACAAAATCCATAGTCTTTAAGACTAATTTTGCAACCCTATCTAAAAATTCTGATATATCTTTTCAGTGAAGAATTCTATAGAAGTCATGTCCCCCAGTCGTATTTTTAATGTTTTGTTACGTTTTTGTTTATGATATTTCCACCTAGGGCTGTGCGATATGACCAAAATCTCATATCCCGATATAAGACATTTCCTATCCCGATAACAATATATATCGCAAAATAGCATTTTCTGTAAATTCTGTGAATCTCTGGCAACTCAATGTGGCGTGAATAAAGCACGGCGGGACCACAGATTGTAATTATGAGCCATTTATTTACATTGGCTGCAGCTCCCAGCTGCTAGCAGCACACCACACCACAACACAGCAATTCTGTTCGGCCCGTATCGTTCCTTTGATACCCCTGATGTTGACCTTGCTGCTCTGACCCCTCACCTGCAGAGCTCCAGTACCAATCTTGGAGTAAAAATCGACTCTGCACTTACTTTGATGGCCACGTGAATGGGGTGGTAAAAATCATCATCCTATCATCTCAGGCATCTGTTGAATTTCAAACCTTTTCTTTCAAGGTGTGATTTGGAGACTGTTATCTTTTATAACCTCATGCTTGGGTTATTGCAGCTCCCTTTGAATAGGTGTTGGACTGGGCACTCTGACACGCCTGCAACTAGTACAGAATGCTGCGTCACAGTTTTTAACTGGTAGAAGAAAATTTGAGCACATTACTCCAGCTCTGGCCTCCCTTCACTGGTTTCCAATTAAATCTAGGATTCATTTTAAAGTCCTTTTATTGGTTTTTAAATCCTTAAATGGTCTGGCACCTGCTGAAGCCCTATGTCCCCACTTGTTCGCTCTGGTCAACTGAGCAGCTGTTGCTCTCAGTCCCCAAATCACGGCTGAAACTGAGAGGAGACCGGGCGTTCTCTATCATGTCTCCAAAGCTTTGGAATAATCTTCCTCTTCACATTAGGCAATCGACATCAGTGCTGGTTTTTAAATCCAGATTAAAAACACATTTCTATTCACTGGCCTTTGACTCAGTGGTTAACTGACTTGTATTTACTTATATTTTATTGTTATTACTATGTTTATTATTTTATTGTATTTATTATTCTTATTGTATCGCTTATATTTCTGTTGTTCAGCACTTTGGTCAGCCTTGTGTGTTTATAAAGTGCTATATAAATAGACGATGACGATGATAACATACCTCTCAACCCTGGTTGCCTTTGATTTATCACTGCGGGCGTGATCTGCAGATGCTGTGCAGGTGCGTCCGCACGGCACCGCAGGCCACACCCCACCACACACCTCCATTGCTCGACTGAGGTCGGGTTGAAGGCCGAACCTACTCCCCCCCCACCGGCCTTCAACCCAACTGGCCTACCTCATTCTTTTCTGATAGTTATGCAACACTCAGAAATTAAAGCTATTCAACACTCTTTTTGGTAAGGTGAAAGACTATATCTCTCCCTCTCTGTCCGTCTAATCCGTCCTTGTTGTGGCAGTTTGTTACATGATGTACTAGTACATGATTCTAACTATTTCTCTGTAAGGCCATCTCACACATATCTGTTCCCAGGATAATGTTGGAAGAAGTACTCACGGGACTGAATTGGTGAGTGTTTGCATAAACATTAACTATAAATTCTATTGCTTCCTTGCAAGTAAATAAACATGTTGGAACATGCTACTCTGTGTGTCTCACTTCACAAGGGATTTTTTTTCTAACACATGTATTATCATATAGTATTGCTTACAGATGGACAACAGATGGTCTTGATTAAAATGACAAAAAAAAAAAAAAAAAACCCACAAAAAAAACAAAAAACACAAAAACAAGGACAGGCAATGTTCATTCAGAATACTGTCTGTAATCAAATGTATGGTGGTTAAAAGGTGTATTTGAATGAAATCTCCAAAAAGTGACAGTGTTAATAAAAATGTTTTTAAATTTTATTATACTATCATTTGGTTGAGTAGGAAGATCCTCGCCAAAATCTGATGCTTATTGTCAACAGATAGCAAGGATTTACAAGGTGGGTTAGAGTTATACTCAAACAAACTCGACAAGAGAATACAATTAAGAATTGATAAATATTTTTTTAATGTCATTTTGCACAAAAAAACCAAAACAAAACCATGCCTACACTCCACAAAAGTCTAGTCTCTCTCTCTCTCTCTCTCTCTATCAATTTAAAAAACAAAAACAAATAAATAATAACCTATCAATTAGTCATTTGAATATTTCTTGAAAGAGAATGAAAAATGTGCTGTTTTCAGATATCAAATGCTTGTGTTCATTTAACATGTAGTTAAACAAAACTTAAGAGCTGTTCCACAAAGCAATATTTTCTGAGGTTGAAAGCAATTATTCATAATGATTAGCCTCTGTTGATTAAGCCAAAAAAAAAAAAAAAAAGGATTTAGAACACAAATACAAATCAGCCATTTTTAGAGCTGTTAGGATGCCAGTATAAACTCACAATAAAAAACAAATAAAATCGGATGTGATGAAGTGGAAGATGTTTTACAACCATTTACATATATAATATTCACAAAACTTCAGTGGGGAAAGACAAAAAATGTAATTATATATATAGTAATTATTATAATAGAAAAGCACACTCAGCTCACAAGAATCTAAGAATCTTTTTGAATATCTTAACCATCTTATTTTTAATTTCTGTTGTTCTAAGACAATACACAAAAGGATTTACAAGAGATGGACCGAGAATGTTCCCCATCAATAAACCCTGACGTTCGTCAAGAGATAATACCACGCCAACTCTACTCAAGATGACAATAATGAATATAGGAGAGTAAAAGCATGTTACACAAATTGCATGACTCACAACAGTGCTGCCCATTTTCTTTTTGTCATTATTTGAAGATAATTTCACACAAAATAAGATTCCACAGTATGAAATACAAATGAAAGTGAAAGTGAAAGATGAAATAAAAAATGACCAAATGGCACTTTGGTTGAAATACTCATCAATGTTGACACAAGTGGTTCGCATTATGGCAGCATATTCACAGAAAGTGTACTTAAGCTTCAAGGTGCAGTGAGGGAGAGGGATAACTGTTGCAGGAAACAAGACAACAGTACCACATCCAATAATCCACAAGATATATGTAAGAACAACAGTACGTGTATTTGTCAAAAAACAGTGGTAATGAAAAGGAAAAATTATAGCAATTAATCGATCGAATGCCATAATTGCTAGAGCAAACCGTTCCATCACCATTGCTAAGTGGAAAACACACATTTGAATTAAGCAATCCACGTATGATATGGTTTTAACATCAGCAAGGAGAACCCCAATCATTGTTGGAGTGGCACTGGAAGTGTACATTATATCAACAACAGCAAGGTTGCAAACCAGAAGATACATTGGTTTATGTAATCTCTTGTCAAAAATAATGAAGAGGATGTTTGCCGTATTGGCAAAAATAGCTAGTATATAGATTATCAAAATAACCACACCAACTGCTACAGGCCTTTTGACTGTGTCAAAACCACCTATAATAAAGTGTTTCACTGTGATTGAAGCATTCTGTAACAACATACTCAACTTTTTAAATTAGGAGATGTTTCAAAATTTAGTTAAAGAAGTAAAACAACAACACCTCAGCCTCAAGCAATAGCCTTTCAAATATATTTTAAATCTTTATCAGCTGGACACATTTGTTAAGAAAAAAGCACAACCCAAACAGCTTTGGGTAAACACTAAGTATCAAAAGAACGCCAAGTTTTCATTGGTCTCAGCTCCCTCATCCAATCACAGTTCATATAGGGCTTGGCATAGAGGTTTTGCATATGACATCATGTGGACATTGCTCAAGACCTGTCCACCATCCTGGACATGATAAGCAGTAGCAATCACATCCAATTGCTCAAAAGTACTTTACATAGAAAATATCACTACTTTTCTCCCCTGTGTAAGTACAGCTGGGAGTGATCAGACCTAACAAGACAAAGGAAGCGAAGCAGAATACAATGAAAAAAGACAGACTGTCAAAGAAACAAGAAGTATAACACAGAGACACAGACTTAACACTGAGACAGAGGCATGAACCGTGGGACAGAAAAAAAAAAAAAAAAAAAAAAAAAAAAAAGCACAGAATAGACATACCATGGACACAGGAAAGGCACAGCTAGAACAACAAAATATAACCTCAACAGAACTAAAACCATGAATAACAAATAATCAAGAAATATAAATTAAACACAAAACAGTAGGTAACAGCAATGACAAAAAAGCCCAATGTTCCTGAGTGTGTGGGTAATGTAAACAAATAAAATAAAATAATTAAAAATCAAAAAGGTTTTAGGCATGTAAATAAAGTTACATAATTTTCAAAGTGATTATATGCAATAAAATCCAAAAATTAAATAGGCTTATTTTTTCTGTGTTCTAGCCTCAGTAACTTTGACAATATTTGCACCTTTGAAGTTTTACAAGTGTTAGCTTTATTTTGATACCAAGATTGTTTATTCCCATGATGTGTCAGGAGCCTTTGTAGTGAATCAGAAGCGCCAACTCCCATCGAGTGAGAGCTGGCTCCCCACTTTTTTTTTGTGGAGTTTGTTGTGTTTCCACACTATTTATCCGTCTTTCCACATATATCGCACACAGCATGATTTCTATGCTCAATGTAAACACAGTTATGATAGGTGAAAAAAGTCAAGATTGGTCTGGTTTGTGATCTAATGTTTGTGGTCTAATGGGTTTCTCATTGGCCCACACTCTTGCACAGCCGTAGGACGCACATGAATAGAGGTGGAAGGCGTTGTAGTTCCTATTAACATGGTATTGCCGACTGTCCTGCTAATTGCAGGGTTTACTTTTGTCTGTATGTCATATTTATGATTAAAAAAATAAAATAAAAATTTAAATTAAAAAAAGTTTAATCAAATTAGATTGTACAAAAGGCCCCGTAGTTACGGTTTTATTCTGTTCAGTTGTTAGTTCACCTGTAGTTTTTTTAGAGTGGCCAGTAGGTCACCCCACCGCTTTGTATGAGAGAGACTATGGGCAGGGAGAAATGTGGGCAAGGCACCTGAGCTTTTCTGCTTCAGATTACCAGCAGAGAAGTGGTCATTCTGTGAGAAATCTGCGTTAATGAACACGAACACACACACACACACACACACCTAAGCCTGTATGCAATACCTGCTCCTCTGACAATCCCTGTTACCTTACCTTTGTGAAGTCAATACAAAAGTCTGCACTATCCTCTGTGTCTTCATTGTCTCCCTTCTAAACATTCTTCTGGGCCTTGAGCAGTGTTCTGGCCGACACTCCGGGGAGTGGTAGCGGCAAATCTGAACTAGCACCTTACAGTCCTCCCAGTCCAAGCTATCTACCCAACATAGATATTGACATTTTCATATCGGAATTTATCCTGCAACATGAAACATGGGTAATGGAAGTATCGATATTTCAGGATCGCTCTGCACATCACTACTCCTCAGTTTTAGAATAAGACAGTAGACAGCGGTGAGGAGGAGAGTGCAAGTGCGTCACAAAAACACGCAAATATGACTGACACCCGTAAATGAAGCAGCACCTGACTGCAGTTTAAAGAAGCAGGTGCTAACTGAGAAGAGATTCAGCCAATCCAAGCTGAGGCAATTGATTTTTCTGAATGTCAACCTGCACCGAGGACATACACTTTGGCTACTAAGTTTGGTTCTGTGGATTTCTTTTTTGTTTTTGTGTTAAATCAAAATTAAAAGTTTGATTAAAATATTACACAAATGTAAGAATGCCTGCTTTTGTAACAGAACAAATACACAAAATAAGGGAATTATAAGGCTTCTCATAAAAACGATAAAGGTTTTATCAACACACAAAGCATTCATATTTGCCAAGTAAAGATAAAATATGAGGCTACAGATGATAATAAATTAAGAGCCAATTGGCAGCCAAAAGAACCGACTCTTCTTTGGGAGCTATGCCACAAGAGCCGGCTCCCATCACTAGTTTATACAGTTTGTAATTGAGAGACTGCTCCATTCATTTTGGGCATATCATTTTTGAGCAGGAAGCCCAGAAAGCTCCTTGGTGCTTAACAGGCTAAGCTCCAGTTTTTACCCTCAAACAAATGATCAGACTTAAAGACTCAAAAGCTAGAAATCGCTCCCCGTTTTGTTACCTCCCATAACCCACCCACCTGGTCCCGAAAGCTATCTCGGATCTAGTACCCTCATAACTCTATTACCTCTTCTGCTACATGCCTTTCCTCTTTTGAAGTTACTCTAGGGTACCAATTTCCACAAGAATGAGATTGAGGTGGCAGTTCAAATCATTCAAAGCACATGCAGCATACCCAACGGGTTTAGATCCGTACGCAGGTTGCTTTGTGCCACAGCCGGTAGTGGCAATATGCACAGCAAATTCAAAAGTGTTAAATGTTTTGGTGTTAGTAGTCTTAGAGTTAATTTTACTCTAAGTAGAGTCACATTCTTTTAATGTAACTCTGAGGTGTAAAAT